TAACACCTCATACATTTGACGTAACTTTATACTGATTTAATACTGAATAACTAAGACACACTTCGTTAACATAAATATTTCAAACACCCATAAAAGTGGAGAGAATACCAAAATGAGCATCCACTCGCTCAGCCCACATTCGTTACATTAGATTTCTCTCTCTGGTTATGTGTGCAGAGCTCCCAACGAAGCAAAAAAATGTACAGTTCATTCCCTCCTCACACTTTATTTGGGTACTAAACCCTGCAATTGCTTTGAAATACTACACACCCAGCACAAAGAACTCAGTAGCATGAAGAAGACCGTGGAGGCTAAAGAAACATACACCTAACTCATCTGTTGTCTCTTCTTTGGGGTCAGTGTGAGAATTAAGCAACGTGTGTGACAACAGTTCTGAGAGCACACACGAATGAGGTTTCCTTGCTACTGAAGAACACCTTGAATCAGAACTGCAGAGCCTTGAAAGAACCGTTCTTCTCACCAGTACTTCCTACAGTCATTGGGGAGCAATGCCCGAGCCGGGCTGCAAGTTGAGGGCCTCAACTCGGGACTTTCGGTCCAATGAGGGAAAATCAAGCCACACCCCAGACAGCACCGCTCTGGGGTGAAGATGTCAGTTAAGCAGGGTTAACGCCCCAAAGGGACGGAGAGGGTTAAGCTGGAGGACCCTGGATACGTGCTCACCGAGCAGAGGTGGAGGTGGTCCTTTGAAGCTTTACCTACTCTTACTACAGGTGTTTTCCTCCAAAATACTGGTTTTATTTACACTGAAAAGTCTGTTGAAACACAAAACCCCTCATTGGTGATGTAATGTTTCAAGAATCCCTTAGCTGCTGTGGTGATGAGTCAACCGCCACCCCCACAATGCCTACACCCGGCAGAGGGCTGCCCAGTGCCCGGAGCAGTGCTGTCCATCACCCAGGAGCAGCCTCCTGTGGCCAAGCCTCCCGCCAGCCCTCCCAGTCCTTCCAACCGTCCTGCTCATCACCTGACGGCGACTTCCGGCCCCAGTCTCACTCCTCTTACACCCCTGACACTCAGGTCAGGACTCTGCCCCCTAAAACAGCAGGACAGCTAAAATTTATGGTGAAGTGAAGTGACTCAGGCGTCATTGCCACTTTATAACACCCTGAGCTCTGCTTCATCATCAGTGCAAGCAGCGTGTAGAATGTTCATTTTGTAAAGCCTGCGGCATGACCTCATTAAGTTATGTTCAAAGTTATAGAATGTGTAATTTTGTGACAAGGCTTGCCACAGCTATGAGTTACTTGAGAAAGTCTCTGAGTCAGAAATAGTAGCCCAAGTTTTATGTTAAGTATGTGTGTATACATTTTATTACATAAAAATACAAAATTATATACTTACAAATCACATATAAATATGTATAATTTAAAAAGGATACTTTAATATATCCCTTTATAGCCTCATTTTTGAATGGTGTGTTTATTTCACATGAATATTTTTAGTGATATATGTAATCCTATATATTGCTTATGTAAGAATGGTTTATATATGTATTGTGTATATGAAAAATCTATGTACAAAACAATAGTGAGAAGCTATTACTGCATAAAAAGAGCCCGTCTACATACAAAATCACAAAGTGGAACGGAGCTGTACAAGTGTCTGCATCTCCAGGCGCACACATGCGTGAGTGCGCCCTGCTTAACGGAAGGACGGGGTCTGAGCACCAAAGCAGCGGCCCGGGGCTCACCTGCCCTTGGCTCTCCACAGGCACTGACCTGACGCTGTCTGCAGAGCGGGTGCCTGACGGACCCCAGGCTTCCTTCCACGCAACGCTGAGAGGGGAGGCCAGTGCACACCCCTCTGCCCTGAGTGACAGCAGGACCTGCTCCCTTTCCCCTGCTGCTGCTGCTGCCTTTTTTTTTTTTTCGGTTTTGGTTTTCGGGTGTTTTGATACCCCAGGTGGGACAAGAACCTTTCCCCTGCTTCTGATCTTCTGATGACAGTTCTTTCTTCAGGGACCCCATCCCTGCACTGGAGCTTTTTCAAGCACTTCTCTGACTCCCCTCTGGGTGGGCACAAGACCCAGACCTGACCTTCAAAATCCTGGGAATCTGTCCAAGGAAGGGCGGAGAAACAGAAGTCAGCCCTGGAGCCTTGGCCCGAGCTAGTGGGAAGGGGCTCCGTCCCCTGAGGTTGCCCCGCCGGCAGCGCAGGAGCTGGAAGCTGCTCCTTCATAGCAAGTGCCTGGTTGGAAATGGCCCCCAGTGGAAACACAGAGCTGGGCACTGGACAGAGAGCCCACGGCACCACCTGGACACCAGCACCTGGCTGCAGCTGAGGTCACCCAAACGAGGCCCCAGGCTTCTTGGGGACTGAGCCAGGAACGTGGGCTCCAGAGGACAGGCATCTGGCCGCCCATCCACAGCTGCACCCGGCACTCAGCACGGCCGCCGGCTCCTGGCAGGCACTCAGTACCCATTTGTTGGGTGAATGAATACACTGGCTTTAAAAAACAGTATTTATTTACTCACTTAATTAAGACCCTGGGAATTGCAACTGTTGTTGCAACCAAGGATCCCTACTGACACTTTAACAACACTTTAAAAAAGTTGTCCCTTCTTTCCAAAGATCTTTTAAAGATAACAGTACTTTTCTACATCCAATAAACCGCAGTACCTAAAAGAAACTTTTATTAAGACTATGTCTCAATTTAGCAAAGTCTTAATTTTTCCTTGATAATGAAACAAAATAAAATTCTTCCTAATGGTCATTTCAGGGACATAAACAAATACGTTAAGATTAGAAAAAACAGACCGAAACCAAGACTTTCAAATTTAATTTCTAAGCTTTTTTAGAGGAAAAAAATTCAGAGATTAGCCAAGTGTCCACTGGGAACACATGAAACTTAAACCGATATTTAATGCATTTTAACCTTCAATTACAATAGTGAAGCCAGCAAAAGCAGGCTTTGAGGCTGCAGCTCCGAGCTTCCAGCCTGGGGTGGGACTAGCAGGGCTGCCACAGGCGCCCTCCACCCTGGGACGTGGGGGCGGGGACACAGCAGGGCGTGTGCCTGACAGCTTCACAGGCTCATCATGGGACGTCTCCTTGTGCTCCAGACACCAGACTGCACAGATGACAAAGGGACTCTCAGTGACCTGATGCAGGAACTCAGTTCTGCCCCACAACCCGGCTCCTGGAGCCCCTGTGCGCTCCCCGGTCCAGGCCTGGCTGCCACCCTTCCAAGGAGTGGATCAAGGCACCAGGGCAGAGGAGGTAGCACAGCTTGAAAAGAACCCAGAAAGGGACAGTTTTGAAACATACAGTTTGAAAACTTTTTAAAGTTTGCCTTATTTTTCTGGGAAAATAAATACAAGCAAAATGTAACAGTTCATTTACAGGAATTAACAGCCTACTACTTTCCTAAAACACCAAAACCTGAAAACACCCGACAGCAAACGGAAAGGCCCTGTCCAGCCTCACCGGTCCTCCCACAGCTCGTCCGGGCCGAAGCCGCAGATGCGCTGCGACCACCGCCCCGAGGGCCTGCGGAGAAGGCCCACGGATGCCCTTGGGTATTCACGACACCCAGAAGGCACCCCGCACCACCAACAGGCGAACTACAGCGCGGGACGGAGTACTTACTTCAACCCAGGGATGTCGAGAAGATTAGTCAGTCCTGTCCAGTTAATTTCTAAAAGCTGTAATGAGAAAAGGGCAAAAATATTATGCATGCAAATTATTTCCAGTTATCATATGCAATCACACAGGTGTTTCTTTACAAACAGACGGGCTCCTGCGTAATGCTGTCCTGGGCCTCGTTCCCCACGCAGGAGAACTTGGAGGCTGCCGGCCCTGTCGGTGTGCAGATGGCCTGCCTGCTCTCGTTTTGTCTCTTGAGCTCATAGTTTTCTCCAGTAAAATCATGTGATTATTTATATACCATTCTCTTATTGATGAGCACTTTGAATACTTAGTTTCTCTTTTACTGTAAGTAGTGATTTAGTATCTTTTTACCACATGTTCTTACATGCATGTGGAGACCAGTGTTCCGAAAGTGGAAGTTGTCAGAGACGTGTGTTTACTTTCTATGTGATAGATGCCACCTAGTTGCCCCAATACTGTATCAGTTTGTATTACAGCAAAAGTGTAGGAAGATATCCTTTCTTCTGTACTCTCATCAAAGAGAGACATTAAAAATCAGCCTTTCTGGTAGTTAAAATATGGTACTTTACCACTCTTTCAATCTGCATTTTCCTGATGTTGGCGGAACATGTTCCTTCCGTTCATTCAACATTTGTATTTTCTGCTCATTTTCCTAGTAGGCATTTAACTGAGAAGAATTCCTACGTAGTTGGCTGAGAGTCTCTTAAATGGATGTGGACAGGTAAAGAGCACCAGTTAGAAACGCTGCTTTTCCTATGAAGACGAGCACTGCATGTAGTAGAATCACCTGGGCCTTGTGTGTGCAGAAGATGTCAGGCGAGACTGCATGGCCTCCACCACCCACACACCCGAGTAACAAAACTGGGAAGTACAAACATGAACGGGAAGGGTTAGGATTCATCTGGATCAAAACTCAAAAGCAACCATTTCAACAAGTCCTGAAAGTAGAACCTCCCGGCACCCCGATCATGATCTCAAACGCACTTTCCACTTAAAGGACAGGGGATTTTGAAGAAATCCAGGCCTGGGGCAAAAACTGTTATCGGGAGCCTGGGCAATCCTGCTGAACCAGAAAGAGTAAAGAAACCTCCAGGGCCGTCTCAGAGAGCCACCTCTGGGAAGGGACTGCAACCATCACTAGACAATAAACTCTCAGGAGACAGAGGCCTGCTCACAGGCCCCTTGTCAAAATGAAGAGACGCTACCCAAGCTCAGAGAAACAAAGCGCCGGGGTGAGGTGGGGGGGCAGGGGCAGAATTCATGGAAGGAAGGACTCAGCTGGGTTTGGAAAGAGAGGAGATTTCAACACAAAAAAGCAAGCCCCAGGCCAAGGGCCCCCACGTTCAAGGTCCTGAAGGCACA